GCTCATGTAGCTCTTTAATCGACGAACAGTCGAACCCTTCATGATTTCTACATTCATGTGGATGAGCTAAGCCGACATCGAGGTGCCAAACCGCGCACTCAATTTGTACTCTCTTGCGCAAATTAGCCTGTTCAAATATGTTATCATAAAAGCTATTTATCTTTTATTTCCTTTTCTTTCAAAAAGGTTCAGACTATTTCATCATCTTTATAAATTATTTAAATTTTTAAGGTTTAATTACATAGCACTTACTCAACCTTTAACACCATAAGAACCTATACGTGTTACAGATTGTAATTTAGTATGTTCTAAATTAGGTCTAAAATTACCTCTTATTAATGCTGATGATTCAAAATTTTCAGAAGATTTAATATTAATTAAATTTCCTGAATATTTTAATTTATATAGAGATCTTGAAGCTGTAAAACGTTTAGTTAATCTACCACTTAATTCCAATCTAACACCAGAAACTTTTTTATATTTAACATTTTCTAAAACTAAACCTTTTAAATATTTTGAGTTATTTATAACATTAATATTTTCTAACACTTTTGCCTTTTGTACAGATCTAGATATTGAAGATAAAACTCTTTTTTTTGCATAACTAAGTTTTAATAATAAAATATTAGTAAATATATCACTATTTAAATAATGATATTTAAGATTAATAAAATTAAATTGTATATTTTTTTGATATATTTTTTTTATTAGATTTGTTAAATTATGTAAATAATAATTATTAAATTTAGATTTATTAATAAAAATTAACATATTAAAATATAAATAAAAAAATTCTTTTTTAAAAGATTTTTTTATAAATACTTTATATAAATTTAATCTTATATTTTTAACTTTATCTTTATTATTTAAAGTTTTTAAAAGTAAATTTTTTAATTCTGATTCTCTTTTTAATATTTTAAAACCTAAATTTTTAATTAAATGCAATTTTTTTTGAATTAAATAATTTTTAATAAAAAAAAATTTTAAATATTTTCTTGTTAATATATACATATAAGTTATTAATTCTCTATTATAAAAATAAATTGTTATATTAATTAAATCACTTGTATGTTTAAATTGTCCAAGACTTATTAATATTTTATTTTTTGATATATTTCTTTTTTTTTTATTTTTACTATAACTTTTTCTATCTCTTATTTTTTGATCTAATTTTAAATTATATAAATTAAAATAACCTTTAATTAATTTATTAATTAATTTATTAGCTACAGTAATATTATTTAAACTATTTTTATTAAAAGTATAAATACTGTTTTTTCAATCTCTTGTAATAGGTACAAATTTATTAGGTCATAATATTCTGTGTTTAGCATTTAATGTTAAATTCTTATAAGAATTTTTTAATTTATATTTTATTATATTTAACATAACATATTTAAATAATGTTATTAATTTAATTAAATTAAATAATAACACAGTTTAATAAAAAATTAAAACTATTTCATTAATACAATATTAATAATTATAAAGATAAAAAAAAAATTTTGTATCAATTAATAAATAAAATAAATTATAAAGATGTTGGGTATTAAAAAAGGATTATTATTAGCATTATTCACCTTTTAGTCGTTGAACGTACTTATTTATATAAAAAGCTTAAATAAGTTTCGCTTCAAATATACTTTAAATTGTATAAACAAATAAAGTTATTTTTGAAATTAACCCAAATTATTACCAATATTTCAAAATATTGGAGGACTAACAAGTAATCCCTAGCGTAACTTTTTCATAAATCCAAGACCTTTCCTTTATGTATCTTGTGATCATATGCCCCGCTTACGCGACTGATAGACTTGTAAGTCAGACAGTAAAGCAAGATTTAGCCATTAAACTTTTAAAGTAAAAAAAAAACATCATATTAATAAGTAATATTTCTCTATTAATATGAATAAATATTAATATAATTATATTAATATTTATTTACATCTATTTACCATATAGTTAAAATCTTACTTAAAATCTTAATATAATTAACTTAATACAACAATAACTGGATAATTAATAATAATTAATTACAAACTAATTAAATAATAAAATAAAAATATTTTATTAATATTTGTAAATTAAAACTTACAAAATAACAATATGAACTTTGGATATACCCAGGTACTTTTTATGGGATCTGTGCCCCGCATAAACTGCCTTCCTATCATAATGAATATAATTGAACAAATAAAGGTGTTTCAATTACATGACCATTACCTTATCCACTGGTAATTATCAAATTATATCATAACAGGTAACAGTAAAGCTGCAAAGGGTCTTCTTGTCTACCTAGAGGTAAGCAGCATCTGCACTGCTAATTCAATTTCACTGAGCCAATCATCGAGACAGCTGTTGTATCGTTAAGTCATTCATGCAAAGACCGCATTTAACGGCCAAGGTATTCCGCTACCTTAGGACCCTTATAGATAAGGCCGCCATTCATCGGGGTATTCATCAAAACCTAATAAAAAAATAATTAAGCAAATCTATTACCTTGCCGACATCGGGCAGACATCACACTCAATACTTAGATTTTTATCTTGGCAGAGTGCTTTGTTTTAATTAAACAGTCGTACAACACTATTTTATGATTCCTATTATTCATATAGTATTTAAAAATACTTGTAATAATGGCCCTCCTTTTCCCGAAGTTACGGTAGTTAATTTGCCGAGTTCCTTAATGATTGTTCACTCAAACGCCTTTGTATATTCTACTTGCTCACTTGCGATAGTATTTAGGTACGGTTTTATTTAAATGATTTTTGTTACAATTTCCTGAACCTTTCTCACTAAATAAAGGTTTTGTTCACAAATAAAAATATTTTTAGAATATAATAATATATTCATATAATATTTTTATTAAATATTTTCATCAAATAGACCCTTTAGGGTTTATACTTAGATACCGAAATTTAAATAAAATACCATAAGCTTAAGGCGAGGAAATATTTTCCTTTTTCGTTACTCATGTCAGCATTCTCTCTTGGATTATTTTTTTTTTTTAACTTAAAAAAGATAAAATCTAAGATATATCCAATGTTCCGCTACCTCGTATAATAATACGCACAAGGTTTCGGTATATTGTTTAGATCCGTTATATTTTCGGTCTTAATATCTAAATTAATTAATCAGTGCTCTGTTACGAGATCTTCAAAAAATGGCCGCTTCTAAGCCTATTTCCTGATTGTTTTTGATAATAACATCCTTAATTTCACTCAACAATAATTTAGGAACCTTATAACTCTTGTTCTGGGCTGTTTCCCTTTAGACATACAACCTTATCGCACTATGTCTGATTATTCAATATTCATCTTTGCCATTCCGAGTGCAAATACTCTCCGATAAAATCTACACGATCCCCCGATATATACAAAAAAAAAAAGTAATAAATTTTATTATTTTTTTTCATTGCCAGAGATCACAGTTCTGTACCTGCTAAGATGTTAATTAAATTACCTACTTAAATAGGTTTCGCGGAAAACCAGCTATACTAGTCAGTTTTGTCTTTCACCAACTTACCACAGTTCCTCGAATATCTTTACAACGATAACTCGTTCGGGCTTTAGTACCCTGCCCATGGTAAGATCACTAGCCTTCGGGTCTATGTTTAGAAACTCTTTCATTTTTTCATAATTGGTTTAGCTGGGCAATAAAATATTGCTCGCTTCTAAACATAACTTGCTGACCCATTATGCAAAAGGTACACTCTTTTTTTTGAGCTGCTTTTAAAATTACTAATTCAAATTTTCCCTCACGGTACTTTTCACTATCGCTTATATATTATATTTAGCTTTAGAGGAAGGTTCCCCTTTTTTCAAACAAATTTTTATTCGTTTTACTTATAAGCTTATTTATTAAAATAATATTTTAATAAAATCTCGTTTGATTTTTTTTCCTAAAGTTACTAAGATACTTCAATTCACTTCGTTTACTTAATTAATTTATCTTAGATTTTAGATTTATAATTATCTTTAATATATAGCTAATTATCCCTAATAATTTCTTTACATACTTTATATCTAATAAACATATGAACATGTAAATAGTTTTTCAAGTTATTATGAATCGAACATAACTAATCCTCAACCCAAATGAGGTGCCTACCCAGCCGGCTCTAACCTGTTTATTTCAGAGAATATCCGATTTGAACGGATGTGATTTTTGTTAACCAAATAAGTCTCAAGCTTACCACCTTAAACCACTCAGTCAATTCTCTTTTATTCAAGAGCACTCAGATTTGAACTGAGAAAATGGAGGTTGAAGCTCTATATTTTACCATTAAATTATACTCTTTGGCTGCTTAGAAGAGAATTAAATTATAATACTTTAATTCCTTAGCGAATTGAACGCTAATCCTACTCTTATCAAAAGTACACTTTAACCTTTTAAGTTAAGGAATTCCCTATTTCGGAAAAGAGATGAGTTGAACATCTAAGTGTACTACACAATATTTAGCAAATATCTTGCTCTGCCTCTTAGCAACCTTCCCTGTTACGGGTTAAATCGGCTACGATCCGATATCTATTTTCTCGACAAGAAAATCCTTTGCCTGTTAAGTTACTAACCCTAAACTAAGGATAGTTAAATTATGGCTAGTTGAAATCGAATCAACACATTTCACATGGTACGCGAGTAGTCTACCGTTAACCTATAGCCATTATTAAGACTTACAGGATTCGAACCCGTACTATAATGATTAAAAGTCATATGTTCTACCATTGAACTAAAGTCTCCTAAGCTACTTATAAATTATTTATTGATTTACGTGAAACATATAATCTTACAATTCAAGGTAATATATATTTACTAAAAACATAAAATATAAAACTTAATGTTAATAATGTAAAAACTACTTGATTAAAAAAAAAAAATGGTATTAATTGTGGCATTTTATTATACTTTTTTTTTATACAAATTAAAGTTAGAATGGTTGAATTTAAAAGTAAATTATTGTTATTCAAAAGTTAATTAATAACCTCAGAAATATATACAAATGTATAATATTAATCAAACAACATCAACAAAATGTCAGTATAATATACCTGATTCATAACCTAAATGGTGATGATCTGTTAAATGATAACCAAGTAAACGTCATAAACCTACACTTAAAAAAGCTGTACCTATTAGTACATGGAATCCATGAAAACCAGTACTAAAATAGAAACAAGAACCATATACACCATCTGATATTGTAAATGATGATACTGAATACTCTACACCTTGGAAAATTGTAAATATAATAGCTAATAATATTGTAAATACTAAACCATATAAAGCACCTTGACGGTTACCTTGTATTAATGAATGGTGACTATATGTAACTGTTACACCTGAAGATAATAATATTATGGTATTTAATAATGGTAATTCAAAAGGATCTATAGCATTTATACCTAATGGTGGTCATTGTGCACCTAATTCTATATTAGGTGATAATGAACTATGAAAAAATGTTCAGAAAATTGCTAAGAAAAATAAAGCTTCTGATACAATAAATAATCCTACACCTAAATTTAAACCTCTTTGTACAGCATTTGTATGATTACCTAAATATGTACCTTCAGAAATAATATCTCTAAATCATAATGTCATACATCAAACTAAATTAATAAAAGCTAAAAATAATATTATATACATATTATTAAAACCATGCATAGTTAATACACCTGATGTTGTTAAAATAAATAATGATAAACTGTTATAAAAAGGTCAAGGTGATGGTGAAACTAAATGATAAGGATGACTTTGAAAATTAATTCTTTGATCTAGAGACATAAAAAAAAATATATTTTTTTAGTTTTAAACTATTTACCTCTAGATGTAGGTTTAGAACCTATAGATATAACTATAGAACCTACCATAGCTAATAAAAGAATTAAAGATATCATAATAAGTCATAGTGAATAACTACTATACATAATATTACCTATAGCACTAATATGTGTTATATCTATTAAACTTGTATCTCAACTTATACTATTAGAATAGTTAATAGATTCTTTAAAATTTTTTTCAAAAAAAGAAAATGTAAAACAATATAATATATTTAATTGTATTATATTTGTTATTATTTTTTGACCTAGAATATAAACTAATATTATCATACTTAATACTGCTAAAGGTATATAGTTATTATTAGTACTTACTAACTCTGATATTCTTATATTAATTAACATTAATATAAATAAAAATAGGATAGATACTGCTCCAATATATACTAATAAATAAGATAAACCAATAAAAGTTAAACCAATTAAAATTAAATAAATAGAAATTATTGAAAATAAACTTATTAAAAATAAAACAGAAACTACAGGATTTTTACTTATTATTGTATATATTCCAAGCATTATGCTAATTAAAGCTAAAAGATCAAGTATATTAGGATTATATCCATTATTTAAGAAATCTATATATATAAACAATTGCATTATTATTTATGATTTACCCCATATCGTTACGGAATTTAATTATTATCATAAATAATAAGATTGATAAATAGGAAGAGAAGGAATCGAACCTTCGATGACTTGAAGTCTTTGAGTTTACAGCTCAACTCGTAAACCAACACACGAAGCCTTCCTAAAAGGATGTTCACATTTTTATATTTTTTGTTCTAGTTTATTAACCCCGTGCAATTTCCATTACACGAACCTTATTTCGACTTAACACTAATTAAAGTTACACATTCGAAAATAATACGTATATATATATATAACAAATCTTATATATATTTATATACATACATTAAACTTATTGCATTTCTTCTTTCAGCGCCTGACGAGTGGTTAGTACCTAACTGATTAACGATTCACCGTTACGTGATGATTAACGATTACTAGTAATTCCTTATTCATGTAGTCGAGTTACAGACATACAATCCATATTAATCAAATTTAAGGATTAGTTGATTTTCACAATATAACTTCCTTTTGTAAAGATAAGTGTGGCACGTCTATAGCCCACAATATTATGGCCATGATGACTTGTCTTGATCCTATATATATAGTCCGATCTAGTGGCAAGGTATATTATACACATAAATAATACCAAGGTTTTCGCTAATTGTAGGAATTAACCTAATCTCACGACATTAACTAAAGACAGCCGTGCAGCGCATGTAATATAATTAAATATTATTCAAATTGTGGTAAGATTTGTCGCGGGTCATCGAATTAAATAACATACTTCACTACTGGTTTCAGAGACGGCCTAATGATTTCAGTTTCAATGTTGCCACCGTACTCTTGAGGTGGAATGCTTACACTTTTATTTATATACTAAAAAATTTTTTTTTAGTTTATGACATTCATAATTTTCTGCTTGGACTACTAGGGTATCTAATCCTGCTCGTTACCCAAGCCTTCGTATCTCAACGTCAGTTTTTACAAAGAAGATCGTATTAGCTTTTACCTGTCTTTTTGATATTTGCAAATTCTATCTTTTCTTCAAAAATTCAAACTTCTCACATTAAACTCTAGAAAAAAAGTACCTTTTTTTAGGTTTAATTTTCCGTCTAGGTACACTTTAAACCTAATTAAGATGACTTACACTTGTCTCTTACGTATTACCGCGACTGCTGGCACGTAGTATTGGTCAAGACTAATAAATAAATAATTGTCATTATCTTTAATCTATTTAGAATTTTATACGAATTCACGTTAATAGTATTAATTTTTATTAATACAAAGCATTCTTCCAAGTTGCTGGTTCAACCGTTAGGTCATTGACCAATATCCCTCACTGCTGTACAATACGCATTAGGAGTTTCTCAGTCCTAATGTGGTCGATCAACCTCTCAGTTACGACTACGGTTTAGCTAGTTATTTCTGAATTTTACTAGTACTAACCGGAATATCTATTAACATCTTAAAGCGAAAAAAAATTTTTTTTCTTTTTTTTTATAAGGGATTTAACCTTTCTTTAAGGTAGCCAAAATATTATATACTCACCTGTTTACCACTTCATTATTTTTATTTAATGACGTACGATTAGCATGTGTTAAGCATTTGGATAGCGTTCAGTCAGAGCCATCATCAAACTCAAGATATTAATATCCCAATAAAATATTTAACTTTTTATTTATATTTTTATTAGTAGTTATCAACTACTTTTTTTTTTTAATTTTTTTTTGTTTTTTTTTTGTTTGTTTTTTGTTTTTTTTGTTTAAATTTAATGATTTTATTTAGATATGAATAAGCCAATTTATGTATTTATTACTAAATAAGTAGAAGTTATAATATATATATAAATAAAATTAGTAAGTATAGGGGTATAGCTCGATATATCAAATTATAATTTGATTTTTGTTTCTTCAAATATCCCAAAATTTTTAATATTATATTTTTATATATACATGTGTAACTATGGACTTTCCTTTCATATCATTATTTTTGTATTTAATCTTTAATTAAACTTAATGTAATTCTAGTGAATCTCTTATATATGAACAAGTTAAAACAATAAATACTTGACTTTGTATAAAAGCTATACCTAATTCTAAACCTGAAAAAGCAAAAATAAATGCTAATGGTATTAAACCTATTAAAAAGTAAAATAAACCTGAACTCATTATTTTAAATGTAAAATCACTTAATATTACTAATAACATATGACCACTTAAAATATTAGCACTTAAACGCAAACCTAATGATACATTACGAGCTAAATATGATATTAATTCTATTAAAACTAATAAAGGTAATAAACCTAAAGGACAACCTGATGGTACAAATAGAGAAAAGAATTTTAATTGATGTTTTTGGAAACCTAAAATTGTAGCACCCAATACTACAGTAAAACTAATAAAAAATGTTAATATAAAATGTGATGTTGAAGAAAAACTATATGGTATTAAACCTAATAAATTATTCATTAAGATAAAAATAAATAGACCATAAATAAATGGAAAATAATTTTGACCTTCTTTAGAATTTATTTGATTTATTACAACACTGTGTACAGTTGCATATATTGATTCTTTAGTTAATGTTCATGAATTTGATATTAATTTATTATTATATGTTATTAATAAATGTAAAGCTAATATTATTATTGTACTTATAATTAAATAAAAACCAAAATTTGTTATAGACATTTTTAAATTTAATATATTTAAATTTAAACTTAAAAAATCTTTTATTTCGAATTGTTCTAACGGGCTAACTATATTACTAAACATTTTAGTTTATACATATACATATATTTAATTTAAATTAAATACGATTTGGAATTATATAAAATTTAGTTATTTATTTGTTTACTCTAACGATTCATATATATTAATAAAA